GGCTCTGGAAGCTCCACAGCGCACAAGCGCCAAGTGCCAGGAGCGCGGCGCCGCGCACGCGGCTGCTCCTGGCACGGAGGCTCAACATGGCCGGCATGATGGCTGCTCGACGCCGTCTGCGGGCTGCAAGGGAGCAACTGCGAGCAAAATGCTGCGGAGATCCGCTCAGGGGGTCGACGAAGACGGAGCTCAGACACATGATGTTGCGGGGTGTGACGGGTTGCATCATTCAATCCGTTCTGTAAAGTCCGCACAAGAGCAGGAGGCGACCCACACTGCCGAACGTATAAAGTTTAAATCCTCAAGAACGCCGCGACTGCGACTACTTGGATCAGATTCCTTGTCCTGGCATGGCTGGGGCCCGTGCTTCGAGGGATCTCCCTGCGAGCTCGTCCGAGGTTGCAAGCTACAGTCTCAGTTTCGGGTTTCGGATCGAAGCTCAGAGCTTTGAGGCCATCAAAAACGATGCTGCCTGTTGCTTGTCTTGGAGGAAAGGTTATAAAACTCACACCTATCGCTCGCAGACCTGGCTGGAGGTCCGAGCACTGTCAGATTGACGGCGCGAAAGCAAGCAGGTTGAGATCGGCCTCTGTTGCTGGCCTTTCTCTGAGAGCCTCCTCCAGCGTGCTTGAGTCGCACCTGAGGACGGGGTCATTCAGAAGCCGGTTTGCAGCAAAGACCTTCACCGAACAAAACCCGAGAAGAAGCGCATAGTGTGACACTAAAACAATCCTTAACCTACCAAAACCCACCTTTTTGTAGGTTATTATTATAAACCCTAATATGGGATTTATAGGGACCCTACAAAAAAGTAGGTTCTGGTGGGTCAAGGATAATTCTAAACAAGAGGGTGTTTGGCCTTGGCCCAGCTCCCACCCGAACATCGTCTTTCCCACAAACCCGAAACACTAACCAGTCAACCCTTGACTATACTTCCTAAACTAGCCCTAACCCTCCAGGTACTAAATAGTAGGTACCTGAAGGGTTAGAGTAGGATCTGAACCCTATATTACACAAATAAACCCTCAAGCCCAAAATCGTGCTTTTCTCAGGTTTGCCAGGGGCGGCGCCGGACCGAACCCGGCTGCCACGCGCGCACGTCGGCCAGCTTGTCACTGGCCTTCTGTGGTTTGGAGTGCAGGGCCTTTTATGGCTTCACGGGTTTAGTAGGATTAAGCTTGGGGTTTCGAAACCCTGTGAAAGATAGGATGTGGACTTAAGGCCTTGGACTCGCGCACCTCTTATAAACCCGCTGCATTGCAGGTTGTTTTTGATTGCGCTTGAAACAATTCGGTCACACATGGTTGAGAACAAAAGTGCTACTTCAAAGTGCCCAGACCTCCTATATGACGGCACAATGCAATTCCGTCTTGGCGTCTTTCTGAATTTGCGCGCTCGTCTTATCAAGTGTCACCTCGCATTCCAAACACAGCAATCTTTGCGGCATCCTACTTGCTCGTGGGGTCTGACCTGTTATCCTCTCCCCACCAGAGTTCTTGCCAGGTGCGCAGCTCCCGATGGGGCCTCGTGTTCTGCTGCGGTCCTGCGAAGGTCTGAGGATTTTTCACATGTGGGGGGATGTCTGAAATCGGGGCACGTCCGTAATTATATCCCGTTCCTTATATGAAGGATCTACTATACTGTACCAAAATATATAACTATTACTGTTATTACTACAGGATCTCCTACTTAGCAATTCGGCTTCTGCTTTCAGGCTTCTGGTTTGTTGAAGCTGCTCTGTAGGATCTTGCTCTCATCTTGGCCCGCCTTTTGCAGACTCTCGGGACGGCGTGTAAGAATGTCAAATGTTGTGTACACAGACAGATAGAGAAATAGATAGATAGATATGATAGATCGACAGATAGACAGATAGATGGACAACCAGATAGGTAGATAGGTAGATAGATAGATAGATAGATAGATAGATAAGTTAACATATATATATATATATATGTATACAGACGTACCTACATACATATAGATGTATGGTGCTATGTTTCTGTACATGTACTTTACGTACAGATGCATGCACCATTCTTTGGGTCTGACTGGTAGTGCTTACTTTTTCGTGGCTCTTTCATGCACTGCTAACACTGTTGTTGTTGCTAGTGCTGCGGCATCTGAACTCTCTATCATGGACAGCCATAGCAGCATTACCAAACGACTACTATGACTGCGGTTGAATCTTATCTCCATTATTGCCACAGGGCCTCGATAACCTGCTTTCATGCCCTGGTGTGGATGGGGTAGCGATGTACAAACGAGATGGAGTAATTCTGGAAAATGGTGTTCCGACGCTAAGTACGGCATGTCCGACATGTCCCAATTAAAGTTACACCCTCGGACATTGCGGATGCAAAAGGAGCACGAAAGCCAAGATGCCTACCACCACACGCTAGATCCGCTCAGGTCTTCCGCCACCCGGCCAAAACCCACCGGGACTGTGAGAAACCTCAGCCCTGAACCTAAGTGGTCCCATAGATATGGGCGGTTGTCAAAATTATGGTCCCTTTTTGGGTCCTTCTAATAATACGGCACCTAATATTTAGGGTACCCCAGAAGGGACCATAATTTTGACAACCACCCATATGTGACGGGCCTAAACGGAATTTGGCGCAGCTTCGTCCGCATAGGGCTCTTCTCAAGGGTTGCGGCCTGCGAGGTGGGGCCGTGACACGGATTGGCGCGACTGCAATGGCCACGCGCTACGAAAAAACAACGACAGTATCGCTGCTCGCAACAACCACAACGCCTCCAACAAGCACAATCATCACAACATCAACATCTCTACCATCACCACCACCATTTCCACCGCCGTAAACACCAGCCCTCACCACCACCAGCACCAGCACCAGCACCAGCACCACCGACGAAAACAGAAGGCACGACGACACCAAACAGCAACAGCAACGCCAGCTAGCACCCACAGCGGCAGCAGCCGCAGGAGCAGCAGAAACAGCAGAAAGAACATTGACAAAAAGCAACAGCAGCAATTGCGAGTGAATCTAGTGCTGCAAAGTCAAGTTGCCTCCTCCGACAACCTTGAGCAGTCAAACCTGCGCAGGGCATGTGCGCATTCCGCATGGTATTAAGAGATGGGCTTCGACACGGGCTTCGGGTTTAGGTTTAGAAGGCCGTGAGATGCCGTGAGGCCCTTGAGAGACTGCTGCGGTGTGGCTTTCTGTGTGTTGCCCGAAAGCTTCGAGCTGCAAACCCTCAGACTCAGGGATCAAGACCAAAACCCTAAACCCTAAACCCCTAAACCCCTAAACCCTAAACCCCTAAACCCTAAACCCTAAAAACCCTAAAAACCCTAAACCCTAAACCGGGCTCAAGGTCTGCGGATTGCCTCGGAACTTGCGGCTGCCAGCTACGAACATCTCGGATTCGCTTCGTCTGTGCCGCTTTTGGGCTGGTGGCCTCAGGCTTTGGCGATCTGGGTTTAGGGTTTGGGGTTGGTTTCGGTGTTTTCAAAGGTGCTTGGGAGTTAGGGTAATCAGGGGGTGTGGGGTTCAGGCTTCAGGGTTTCGGGCTTTAGGGTTCAGAGTTTAGGGTTTAGGGGTTCAGGGGTTTAGGGTTTAGGGGTTCAGGGGTTTAGGGCTTCCCACATACCCTGCCAGGACCTTTACGATTAGGGGGTTTACGCAGTTTCTGTTGGGGGGTGAAACGGTTTTCGAAGGCCGTACAGGTCTGAGCGCTCCACTGTCCAAATACCAACGCACCAAAATAGTTTAACACCGGAGTAGTATCTTAGCAGTCTCATCCCCACCCTCAGCATCGGCAGCACAGAGATGCAACATGTGCACGGGCCACATCGGCAAAAAGTACACCTAGGCAATCATGCTTTGTTAAGTTCCGCCCATCTTTCTGCAGACACTTGAACGGGCACGAAGACCAACAAACGGCCAAGGAAACCGAGCGGCGACGCGGAGACAAGCAGAGATCACGCGCACACGCCCAAACCATCTCTACCAAGATCTTTGCAGGCTAGTCGTAGTTGTGCTTCTACAAGCACGGATTCGAAGTCCCAGATCTTCGACGAAGTCAGAAACGCAAAGCCCTGAGCGCGCAGCCGGGAGTTGCACAGGGCTCGGTGTGGAGACGGCCTTCGGCGTGTGGGATGTTTCACTCGTTCCAGGGGTCGAAAGTGAAGACAGGCAGCCGGATCCGAGAGAGCTAATCGTTGTTTTCCGATTCTTTCCTCTACTTTGCTTCGAAGGTTTACAAGGCTCCCGATGTTTCGTCCACAAGCTGATATGGCATCGGAACTTGCTGCACACCATAACAAGTCATGGTGTTAGGACTGCTCACAACGGCAACAGTGACACTAATGATGCCGACAAGGACGGGATTGTGACCCTTCAAAAAAGTGTAAGTGTGGCCTCTCCAGTGATTGCCTGGCACAAAGAAATGCCCGGAGCGGCGGCGTCTTCTCTTCAAGGAGCTGGTTCATTAAGATAGATCCATAGATCCAATTATCCAAACTATAAGTTGATATGGGGGTTTCCGAAAATAGGGGACCCCAATATAGTACCCCAACTTATAGGATCCTTATTATAAGGACCCCAAAATAAGGTACCCTCTATTTTCGGAAACTCCCAGATAGCTTCGATGAAGCTTAAGGCATAGGCAATCTGAAACGGTCAGAGGAAAAGCCTGGATGCAGTTTGAAGTAGAAAAGGCCTGGGTGGCAAAGGAGCTGATAAAGGCATCTGCTTCCACCACGACCTTGCGGCGGCTCTCTAAACTTCAGACTGTGAACTCGAAGAAGGCCAGGTGGGTATATTTCGTCCCGGACCCCGACAACACAATACCTACAGTGTACAGGTTCATGAGGTTCATGGTAGAATCCTGAAGCCCGCAGAGCCGCGGGCCTTCTTGCCTTATCCCCTCAGGAAGAGATGGGTGAGATTCTCCAAAAAACGTGGTGTGATGTAGCCCTGAATGCAAGACCACACCCCCGGAAACAAGTGAACAGTGAAACCGCTGTCCCGCCCAGAAGAGTGCGAGGCACTGTATAAAACTTGGTTTGCGTTTATGGTCGAAAGATTTGGGTCTCTTGGCCTTCTTAGCATCAAGGGGCTTGGATGGCTTGGGAGTACAGTGGCAGTTGCTCACTACTACTTGTAACAGTCAGGTTGCCGATATGTCACCATCACGACAACTAAAAATACATGTGCACGGATAAACAATCGCATACCTATTTACATATATATATATATAGACATGTATATGTATATGTGTAAACAAATAAATAAATAAATAAATAAATATATATATATACACACAATGCATGTGTGAGTATGTAGGTGAATAAGGGGGTATGTATGCAAACACGCATACATGGTACAGGTGTTTTCATCGTGATTGCCAGCGCCTCTGCCAGGGCGACGGTGGTCCGCGGACTCCGAAGCAAAAGCCAGCAGCTGTCTCCCCGGCCACGGGCCCCGAAGCAATCAGAGATGGATTTGGGAGCTGCGGGGCTTAAGGTTTAGGGTTTAGGGGTGCAGGTCCATGGAATTTCGGGTCTTGCGCCCTAAACTGCAAAAGCTAACTTCATTAAGAGGCCCCTTCCTACGGAGCCCTGCATTGTTGTTGCTGACGTCTCCCAAAGTCTGTAGTAATTTCTTAGGGTTCGCCTTTTATTCCGCTGCTTTTTCTTGCCTGCGCTTCCCGTCCCTGAGGCTCGGACGGAACGGCCCTGCGAGCTGCTGTCCTCCTGAGAGCAGCTTGCATGGGGAGTTTCGGGGTTCCTAAAACCCTAAACCCTAAACCCTTGTGAACGAGGTCTCTCAACCCTAAACCCTAAACCCTGAACCCTAAAACATCGTGGAAGGGTCCCGAGCCTGGGCCGAAGAACCCAAAAGCCTCAGCTCTAAAGCCCGAAACACAAAACCCTCTAAAGAGAGAGCCTGGGCCAGTGCGACACCTTAAACCATGAGCCCAAACCAAGAGTTCAACTAGAAGAGACATGAGGAACCTCGGAGTAATCGTCCTTCAGTCCAGCATCCGTGAAGAAAGGATAAGAAGCACGGTACCCTACAGAACCGTCTTCGGAGCGTAATGTTTTAAAAACCCCACTACCAACCAACCACCGTCTCAAAGCCCAAAACCCCAAGACCTGAAAGCTACTGTAACCCCTGAAACTCCCTTTTTACACCAGGCTTGCATGTCGCGCCTGGCTCTGCGCCCGAAAGCAGCTCGCTTGCACAAGAAGAGCTCGCCGAAACAGCTATACTATGCCCACAAAAAGCCTATAAAATACCCAACACAGACAAGCAACAGGGGACCCCATAGAAAGCCTACAAACCCAGAAACAAAGTAACAAGGGGACCCTACGGCCCTACTGGTTTTCTAGAGCAGAGCCCTAAACCCTAAACCCTAAACCCTAAACCCTACGGCCCTAGTCTAGTGCAGAGGCCGGGTCCCGAGCCAGCTTCTGCAGCGCCAGCCAGGGATCCTCAAGCTTCGACTTCGCTTTGCCCGGGGAGGCCGAGACCTGAACGGCAACTTTCAACGTGGGTGGGATGGGGGTGGGGGGGGGGGGGGG